GGGCCTCAAGATTTCCTGACTGGAAGTTAGGGGGACCAGCAGGACCATCGCCTTGAGAGAAGAAATCATGCCAACACCCCTGTCCTGCTCAGGAAGCCTCAACAGAGACTCGGGCTCTGCTGTCCTGCCCAGCAGGGAAACGGGCCCACGGTACCCTGTTCTCACAGGTGAAGGCAACATACAGCAAAACCAAAACCTGACTCACGGTGGGCATCACCCCTGCATGGCTATTTCTGGTTTTTGTTTTTGTCTTGAATAAGGAGAATCTGTTGCTGGTCATATTTCTAGCTGTAAACGTGCCATGCTGTGAGTCCTCAGTAAAGGAGACTTTGATCCCAGAAAGGGTGTCCCTGGGCCCTGTCAGCCTTCAGGCTGGATGGAGCCCACTGAGCTCATGAAGCCGCCAAGGCCCAGCTGGTTGCTTAGGAGAGAGCTACACTTGGCTGATGTCCTGGTCAGGTCCCCACCTGGCTACAGGACTCTAAGGACTCCGAGGCTCAGGACGGGGGAGGTGTGACCTAGAATACAGTCTAGGGCGGTGTCTCCCAGAGGGTCTGCAGAGGCCTTCACCAGAGCTACCCAGGAAGACTGCAAAATGCAGATGCTCGGGCACTGCCCAGATTCAGAGAGTCAGAGTCCCTGGGGGAGTGGGTGCATAAATCTGCATTTTTTACAAGCACCCTCTCTTCACACCCACCCAGATGCTAAGTGGAAGGATCCTTGCACCCTAGCAGCATCGCGCATAACACCCCAAAAGTGGGAGTAACCCAGATGCCCATCAGCTGCTGAATGGACGAACCAGCGCGGTGTGTCCACACCTGGAGTATCGTTCAGCCACAAGTGGGGTGAAGTTCCGATATAAGCTGTAACGTAGATGAACCTCGAAAACACCAGGACCACACAGTGCACGATCCCATTGATGTTAAATGTCCATGATGGGCCGTACAGAGACGGAAGGTAGTTTGGGGTTGCAGGGGCTGGGCGCGCTAGGGACATGGCGGGTGGCTAAGGGGGAGGAGGGAAGAATCCTGCGCCCTCCCCAGGCCACTCCCCACCATGCTCAGCTCTTAGGGCAACAGGGCCAAGAAGCATCCAGATGGCAGGTGTGAGGGAGCTGCCCACCCCACTGTCCCCCAGGCAGGCAAGTGGGTAAAGGCAGCTGCCCCCACGGCACTTGGCATCTGTCACCTTATACCTTATTTATCTTTCACGAGAGCTCTGCCCTGCGGCCCTCCCACACACCATCTCCTCTAATCCTCCTGGCAGCTCGGGGCGGGTGGAGCAGGTCTCTTATTCTCCTGTCTTCTGATGAGGAAACCAAGACCCAGGCTGGCCCACCAGCACCCGGCCAGGACATGGCAGGCCTGAGAATGCCTGGGTGTTCTGGTCGCCATGTCACGCCGCCAGCCCAGTCTTGCTCGGTGGCCCTCCTGCCTTCTCTCCTCTTCCCCTCCCACCTCCGCCCTGCTCTGCTGGCCTTGGCCCCACTGCCAGGCTTGTGGGGGGCCCCAGGAGCAGAGGGGGTGGCAGTTGGCTTGGAGCAGACAAATGCTAATTATGGGATTACACGCATTGTCGTTGCCTTAAATCCTGCAGACAAACAGGACCTGAGAGCCAGGAGGAGGGTCAGTGGCTACGGGCTGGGGGGGTTGCGGGGAGGGGTGCTGTGTGATCTGCAGCTCCTCCCCCCACTGGAACTCTGGGCCCTTCCAGCTTCTCAGGCTGTCACCGGGGGCTCTGGCTTTAGGCTCTAGTCTCACCCCATATGCTACCGAGAGATGGAGCCCCCACCAACACTCCTCCAGGAGCACAGACAGGGGGCGGGGGGGCGGTGCCCCTGGGGACCGTCCTGAGAGCTCTGACATGGGGAGCGGGAAGACACAAGGTAGGCCAGGGTTTACTTACCTCTGGGGCCTGAAACCACCCCATAGTTCAGCCCTTGGGATAAACTCACCGTTGTTAACCCCTAAATAACACGTGCCAGGTGCATCCGTTAGCCCACGAGGACCCCTCAAAGAAGACATTAGGATACTGCCCAGAACTGAACTGGGGCCACAGGCCTGCCAAGGCACCTGAACTGTCCCCTTACAAATCCAGACCCTAACTCCAGCTTTCCCAGAATCTAAGCACGCGGGCCACTTGTCCCCAGAGGACGCTCTGTCTGTGGGAGTGTCTACCTCTGCCAGGCTCCATTGCTACAACTGCCCTCATTCGAGATGTCCCCAGGAGAACGGTGCCTAGCCCTGAGGAAGGCTGTCCTCGTGGTGGCCCGAGCCAGGGGGTGACCGAGTCCCTCGTCCATCTCGCCCCACTGAGCACCCACCATGTTGTCCTGGGTCAGCTCCCAGACACCCCCTGCCCACCGGGCCTCCAGGCCCCAGGAGGAAGGAGCAGAGCTCCCACTGCCCGGCCGGCGCGTCGGTGAGGCTGACCGTGACTGGCCCGAGCCTCCCTCAGGGCCAGGGCTGCAGATGGACCTCGGGGTCACTAGAGAGGGGTGGAAGTTGGGGTGGGCGTGCTGGTCAGAGTGGGGACAAGGGACGCTGACGTCTGTTTTGCTTCTTGGATTTGTGTGTCTTCACTCCTGGTGGCCAGGGCCTTACTTGTCAGTGGGACAGCTCGTTTTCAGGAGGTTCCCTGCCTGTGGCTACTCCCAAACTGCAGGCCTTGGTTAGCAGGGCTGGGCCCGGCCCCTGGTGTGAGCCCATCTGTGACCCCACTGGGGACAGAGGGAGCCCAGGGCAGAAGCCCGCAGGGAGTTTGCGTGGAGAGCCCCGAGTCTAGCCGCTCAGACAACCCTCTCCGGTCTCCCAGCTGACAAAGGAGCAGCCCTGTTAGAAACGCCCAGCTTGGGGGCCTTCTCGGAGGCGGAGGCATGTCTTGGATGGATTAGGCCGCACCCGGAGAGGGAGCCTCCCCCTTTGTGCTGGCAGGGACAGAAAGGAGCCAGTGTTTGCTGCGTGTGGGTACACAATGGGCTGTCCCCTTGACGGGGAGCGTTTCCATCAGCATCAGTTAATATTTGTCAGCCCCCGCACGGGCCAGGAGCCAGGAGTAGCAGAGAGAGACATCATTGTCCCTACCCGGGGACCTGATATCTTCCGGGACAAGTTGGACAAACAGGGAGTGGCTTTGCCTGGGAGGAGGTTTCTCCTCCTGAGCTCTGCGGCTCTCCAGGGCTGACACCTCTCGGGGGCCAAGCCAGCAGCCCCGGGAACGTCAGTCTCCAGCAGCAGACGACGGCTCACTCTGCGAGGCTTCCTACGTGCAGGCACTGGGTAGGCACATGCACACGTCACCCCACAAAGGACCTCCACTTACAGATGAGGCAACTGGGACCCCTGGGAGCAAGACCCCCAAGGCCACACATGTGGCAAATGGCAGAGCCCACCCTATGCTACCGTTATGCACATTCATTCTGCTCCAGCTGGACCCAACCAATTTAGACGGGTCTTCCCATCACCCCTGCTTTCCCTGGGGTCTTTGAGGAAGCCTACCCTATTTCCGATAGGAATAGGGGAAGAGAAATTGGGGGACTGGTACCAATGGCTCTACTGTGCCCACAGCTCCACCACCACCACTGAAGGAAGAGGCTTGGGTGGGCACCTGCGCCTGGGAGCCCAGAGGTGGGCAGGCATCGGAGGCTGTGCCATCCACCTGGTTTGCTTGTCATGGCTGGAGGGACCTGGGCCCAGGGGCATCCGGTGCTCCCTGGTGCCTTTCTCTACACTGCACAGCACCCTCGGACTTCTCTGACCCGCCAGCACACCCCGCTGCAGTGCCCATGCCCACCCCACACCTGAGTCCTCAACTGCCGCCCAAACGAACACCCTGGCCGAGGTCTACAGAGTGTGTGGTTTGGCCCCATCCATGTCTCCAGCCTTATTTGCACCTCTCACCCCCTCACTCCTGCTTGAGCCGCCTGGCGCCTTCTCAGTTACCCAATTGCATCACAACCGCCCACAGGGCCTTTGCACATGCAAGTCCCTCAGGTCAAAATTTCTCCTCTCATGCACACTCCTAATGACCTCTTCATCTCCCCTCATGTTTCAGCTCAAGCTTGGTTTCCTAAGGGAGCCCCCTTACCTCCAGGGCTAGGTCAAGTTCCCCTCTTAGTCCATAGCACTACTTTGCAGCCCTTGTTAGCCGCAAACTCATGATTGTTCACAATTCAATTCTTTTCCTTTATTTATTTTAGAGATAAAGTCTCACTCTGTCACCCAGACTAGAGTGCAGTGGCATTATGTTAGCTCACTGCAGCCTCCAACTCCTGGGCTCAAACCATCCTCCAGCCTCAGCCTCCCAAGTAGCTGGGATTACAGGCACATGCCACCATGCCTGGCTAATTTTTATATTTTTTTGTAGAGACTGGGTCTCACTATGTTGCCCAGGCTAGTCTTGAACTCCGGGTCTCAAGTGATCCTCCCACCTTGGCCTCCCAAAGTGCTGGGATTACAGACATGAGCCACTATGCTTGGCCTCAGTTCTTTCATTAATGCACTAGACTATAAGGTAGGGGGAGGACAGTGTCTTTTCTGTTCACCATAGTTTCCCAGCTTCGAGCATGGTCCCCAGCGTGTTGTGGGTACTTGATAAATATTTATTGCCTCGTGTGCTGTGCCCCCCTCCTCTTGGTGACATGAGGACTAAGATTGCAAACAGACAGCCAAGGACTTTGCCAAGTACGAACACTCTGGAAGTGAGCTTTAGCTCTAGACCACGTGAATACGAGCTCTATGGGAAGTAGGCATATTAAGGTGGAAAGTCAAGCCATGGGCATACGAAAGGCTACAGAAGCTCTTAGCTCTCCTTGGATCAATCTAGGAAGGCTTCTTGGAAGAAGAGCCCCCACCTTCCTTAACAGTGTTGTTAATGGTACAGCCAAGAGTTCAGTGAGCAGAGGAAGGATGTGAGCCAGAGAGGCCCTTCCTGTCCCCCCAGGTGAGCTGAGTGCTCTCAGCAGACCCCTGCCCTGCAGCTCCGGCTGCAGCCCTGCGTACCTGCTCATCCACTTTATGGGCGATGAGGGTGGCTCCTTCCTCCAGCTCTGCCACGCTGATGGGCCGGATCCGGAGCGCCACCTGAAAGCAAAGACCAGACCCCCTGGATTAGAGGAAGAGGGCCACGCTGGGCCTCAGAGAGAAGAGGGAGAAGACTTGGGGATGCCTCCCCCAGGCAAGGCCCTCGGTTCTCGGTTCTCGGTGTCCAGCCATCCCGGGCCTCCTTTGTCCTAAGGAAAACTCTACCTAGGTAAGAGGGCAGCAGGCCCCCAGGGTGTCGGTCTGTGTCTGAGTCTACGAATTCTCCCAGGAGCTGGTGGCCTCAGGGAGAGCCCCGGGGGAGGGAGCTGTCTGTTCCTCCCGCCCGCGTGAGCCTGGAGCCCAAATGAAGCACCTGCAGCTGCCCTGGGCTTGCGCCTGGAGCCCTTGTCACGGGGCAGCCTGTCTGCGTCCATGAGTGATGCGCCGCAACTGAAGGTGAGGGCACGGCGGGTGGGATGGCGGGTGGGAACGTCTCTCGTCATCCCAACGACCTGTGACCAAATTCCTACCCTGAGGAAAGTGTCACCCAGGGCCGCTCTCCGACTACTCTCCAGCCAGTGAGAAGTGGCGGGTCTTCATCCTGTCCCCAAGTCTCCCCCAAAGAACGGGGCGGAGGGGAGGAGCACGTCCTCTGCTGATCAAAGGGAAACACCTGCGGGTGTGTGGGCAGCTCGGACAGGGCCTCAGGCAGCGGAAGGACACTTCGCTTTCAGAGGGGCCTCCACTGCCTGTCAGGTCATCTTTGTAGGGTTTCCTCTGCCGAATTCCAGGGGCGGGAGGGGAGGACCCTTCATCGCTGTCCCGGGAGCACACCAGACATGTTAAGGAAAGTCGTTTGCAAAGAGACACACTCCGAGTTGCCAGGGAGGAGTTCTAGAGCCCAGCGCTTGCTTGGGGGCTGGGGCCGAGGCTCCTTCCTGGAGAAGCAAGCTTGCCCCTCAGAGGGGGACCTGGGGTAACGCTACCCTCCAGGTCCATCACTACCCACCTGCTGGTGATAAAAGCCCATTTCCAGACCTCAGAAGTTAGGGGGTAAGGAAGGGACACGTTTCCCACCCCACCCCCAGAGCCTGGTGGTGGCCTTGGGGTTGCTGAGGCTTCCCCTCATTGCTCTGTGCAGGCACCATTGATCACCAGGAATCTCTATCTTCTGTCTCTCCGCCCACCCCAGCGCCCACTCCCACCTTCTCATCCATGCCAGGCCCCAGGGCTCTGCAGGGACATCAGTCACCTCCAGCACCTCTCAGAAATACTGAGAGTCCTGACCTGGACAGCATCTGTGTTGCAGCCCAGGAACCAGCCACTCCCCGCCCCATGCTGGCTTCTCCGGTATGGGGGAGGGGGGACTCTTGCTTTCCTGCCAATGACCCCCCAGCTCCCTTTAAGCTCCTGACCTCACCAGGGCTGCAGTACCCTCTGGTTCACAGGGAAACTCCCACCTTCCTTCTGGGGCAGGTAGGTCAGGCTCGCCCCGCCCTGGCCTTTCTGGTTCAGAGAGCGGTCTTGCCCAGAGACCCCCCCTGCACAGGTTTTGGGGGTGCGGTCCCCAGTGGGAGGGTGTAAAGAGGGGAGTGGGCTGAAGTTGGGCTAGTTTTCAGGCCTCAGAAGGATGCCATGACACCTCCTTGACCCCCATCCTCCAGGACTTGGGGAAAGTTGCTCTGGGCGGTCCCAGCCCTGACCCTTGCATGTCCTCTCAGGGGGAGGGGTGAGGGGACAGGACTGCTCTGCCTGTTGGAGGCCGACGGAGGTATTCCGGGCTCTGGGGCCCACGGAGGAGGCCAGGAGGAGGCTGAAGGGGTCTCACCATGAGTTGCTGGTCCTTGGAGTCCCCGCTGTCCTTCATACTTGCGGCAGGTGGAGGGGCTCAGGCCACGACGTCGGGCATGGCCGAGCCGCACTCCCACGGCCGCCAGGTCTCGTCTGGTCACTCGTCGCAGCCTCGCCTGCGCTGCTGCTGCCTGACAACCCGAAACCAACAACGCGCCCGCGGCCAAGGGCGCTGACCGGGAGGCGGGGCCCAGGGAGGGCACGGACGGGCCACCCCGCCCCCTTCGCCCCGCCCCGCCCCGCGAGTGTTGGCCGCCTCCTCCGGGGAGGCGCCCGAGCCTGCGGCGCTGCCGTGTGCTGCCTGTGCGTCCCTCGGCCCTCGGCGCGTCCGTTTGGTGGCTCCTGGGCACCTGCCCGCACCGCCCCCACCCCCGGCTCGTGGCCCGAGCCCGGCCCCACTGCCCGCCAGGGCGCGCCAGCCCGCCACGCGGCTCGCTGCCCCTCGGGCCCCGCGCACCTGCTGCCCGCCCGCCCGCCGCCTCTCTCTCCACCTGTCTCTGGGTGTCTCCAGGGCGGCTGCTGGCAGCCTCGTGTTTCCGCGGGCGCTGCGTGCTTCGGTGGGTCCTCTGGTTTGGGTGTCCGCACCCACTATTCAGCGGCAGGGTGGGTAAAGGGTGGCCCCTTTGCCCAGGCCGCCCACCTGCATGGTGATGGGGGGAGCACCTATATTATCTGGGGTGTGTTACAGACCAGCCTGCCTCAGTGTACCCCACTAGCAAACAAGGCTCTATCCCTAAACCCAGAGTCTAGGGGAGATGGCTGGGTGGCTCCCTGCCTGCTGGAAGAGCCACAATACTGTGCAAGAAAGTCTTGGTCAGAGGCAGCAGTTTCCATTCTTGGTGACAGTAACAACGATACACACTCAGGGAGCACAGGGGAAAGATTCCCATCCTCAGGAGGCCCCAGGAAAACAGGATTCTGGTCTCAGCTGTGCCTCCAACTTGCCCAGCCACCTAGAGCGGGCTTTTCCTGCCTCCCTCTGGGCCTCGGTTTCCTGGGTGATGTCGGAGGTCCTCCATTCTGAGGGTGCATCCTTTGTGTCTGCCCCCACAGAAGCTGAACCCGCAGCCCCTGCGAAGACCCGGAGGGATACCAGGGTGGGGTTCGCCTCCCGCAGAAGAAGCTGGGGAAGGAAGAGCTCACGTCCCTGGGGCTGTCCCAGCCTGCCTGGCGCAACTCCGGAGGCAGAGCACGTTGCTGGCCTGCGCCCTGGGACTGGCTTCCCCAGCTGCCCGGAGGAGCTTGTGTTGGGAATAGTTATTAATAAACACAGCAAGACGCAGCCCACAGCCGTGGGTGTGATAAATAGATAAACCCAGTCCAGCGTGGTGGTGGAAACCGCACCCTCCTGCAGGGGGTCCCCGTTTTGTCCTGTTCTTTGGTCGAGGCTGCCCCTCAGGCTGGCTGGTTTGCAGATGGGCATCGAGTACTTTTGCGGATGTGTTGGGCTTGCGTTCCAGGCCCTTGAATAGAATCTCGATCAATCGAGGAGGCCCCTGGTCAGTTGGGCGATCGCCGTTTCTTTTTCTTTTCTGTTCCTCGCATGCGTCCGTCCCACCCGGGACAGCCCATGGTGTTTCATGGGTGAAAAGAAGCAGCTCCTAAGCAAGAGGTCCCCCCGCACCTCACGTGGAGACTCGTCTCAAAGTCGTCTGTATTCTCAAGCCGTTTTCCCTGCTTGACTTTTGCGTTTTGTCAATGAAACCTCCATGCCCTGAGTAGCCACACCTGTAAGTCATTTCTTCTTCTTCACGCGGTCCTCAGGCTCAGGGAGGTTGAGGAGCTGCTGTTGCTGGTCCAACCGCATACACCAAAACCTACGTGGGCTCAGGCTTTTCTGAGCTCACTGAAATCTTCGTCCATTTACCTGCAGTGGGCTCTCCAGTGGGCAAAACCTCCCCTGCCTATTAAGAAGACCTAATAAGGTGCTGCCACACCCAGAGTGGATGGCATCAGCGACCACCTCCATGTGGCAATGATACTCTCAATCAGAGATACGCGACATTCTCCACCTCCCCCAAACCCACCTTCAGTTGGAAACCACTGGTTTTCATGAGCCCTGAGCACTTTCTAAAGCCCTTTGACACCCCAGGGCCCAAGGGAGCAAAGTCCCACCTGCTTGCGGGCTGGGCATGGCTCCTCCCAGGCTGGGCTGTGGACACTGGAGTCCAGCTTGGCTTCTGCACTTCCCAGCCCCATTCTGGTGTGTTCCTCACCCTGTCCACACTCCACGGGGAGGGTTTTCCCAGCAGCCTCTGGCTCTCTGATGATGCGTCGTGGTTTTGTTTTGCTCCCCTTGGAAGGGGAGCCACTCCCTCATGACACCCTCTGCCTGCCGCCTGGATGGCAGAGCCAGGCAGGGAGTGTCAACCTGGAGCAGCCCACTCCTCCTGCTGGGGGACCTGGGGGTGCAGGGTGTGTGGCATAAGCTCTGGGGCGGGGACCCCGGGCTGAGGTCTCAGCTAGTTACTCCCTCTCTGCATCTCACCTGCCACGTCCGCCAGGCGGGGATTGAGGATGGCGTGATCACTCCTGGGTGCTTGTGAGGGTCAAGCACTCAGGAAACAACCTGAGATTATTGTTTTTATCAAAGTCTGGCCGCCTTCAGCAACTCAGTAGCTTTTTTTTTTTTTTTTGAGACAGAGTCTCGCTTTGTTGTCCGGGCTAGAGTGAGTGCCGTGGCATCAGCCTAGCTCACAGCAACCTCAAACACCTGGGCTCAAGCAATTCTTCTGCCTCAGCCTCCCGGGTAGCTGGGACTACAGGCATGCGCCACCATGCCCGGCTAATTTTTTCTATATTGTCCAGATCATTTCTTTTTATTTTTTTAGGAGAGACGAGGTCTCGCTCTTGCTCAGGCTGGTCTCAAACTCCTGACCTTGAGCGATCCACCCACCTCGGCCTCCCAGAGTGCTAGGATTACAGGCGTGAGCCACCGCGCCCGGCCCTCAACACAGGCATTTTTAAAGGGCCCTCTGATCCCTGCCACGCTCAGCTGACATCGCAGGATGAATGGCGGCCAGGGGACTTCCGCGTGCAAGGTTGCTCTGAGCCACCCTCTTGTCCTACTGACGTCTCTGTAAGGGTCACTGACTGCTGTGTTGAGCTGTGGTTTCAGGGCGCCCCTGGGGCAGCCCACCGCCCACCTTGGAGCCCCCGAGGGCCCTGCACAGCACGTGGCCCACAGTTGACGGCCGTGCAGGGTCAGGAATGAGCTGCCTGGGCTCCCGTCCTGGCTCTGTCAACCTCACGAGCTCTGTGACTCGGGTAAGTCCCTGCACCTCTCCCGGAACCTGTTTTTTCTCCTGTGTTGTTTTGGTCTTCTGAGCGTGCACCTTTTCGGGGGGCGGTGTGAGAGTCTCGTGTGCTATTGTGGGGGGGTCTTAGCGCAGGATGCATAACACATGCTAACTGCTGGCGTTGTTGTTATTCATTTAATTTTACAGGAATTAAGATAATAGAAAGCACGAAAGTGCACCAGAACAACTAAGCTCATTCCGTCGATCCTCCCACACCCGGAGGCCTCTGTCGTGGCTGTGTGTGCAAACACCCGGAGACCTGCTTGGAAAGCCGTCTTAGAAGTGGCAGACTTTCTGTTCTCGATTTGTAGGTGGATGAGGAGGGTCGATAAGAGAGAAGGAGAAACGCTTTTCCCCTCCCGCAGGTCCCCGCAAGGCCCCGCCGTGGCTGTGCAAGCTCAGCTCCCCCCTGGTAGGGCTGGGGCAATGCCGAGAGGAGAGGCGGGGAGGGTGGTACCGCAGGGCAGCACCGCAGTGCAGTCGGGGGCGAGCTGCTAGGCCTAAGTCTCTTCTTCCGCCCCTTCCGCCTCCAGCGTGTCCTCATCGCCCTCCGCCTCCTGGTCCTCAGCCACACGTTCCTGCTTTTCCTGGTTAGAGACAGCACAGGAATGTTGGTGTGGGTGGGAGGCAGTCCGTCCCTCTCCCCCCGTGTTAACCCCATGAGGCTAAAAGCAGCCACTGGCTGAAGCTTGGATTGCCCAGCATCCTGGATGCGGTGGCACCAGCTCCACGGCTGGCGAGGGCCCAGTGGGTGCTCAGAGCCTGTGGGTGCAGAAGGTGGGCAGAGCCTTGGGAATCCAACAGACTTGGGTACGAGTCAACTTGCAGACCTGGCAACCCTGGGCTAGTGCCTCCTGAGTCTCCATGGCCCTCTCCTGTAAAGAGGACGTGACACCCTGTAGGGGCTGTGGCTAGGATTATAAGGACTCAGCGTGGATAGGACAGCTTCCATGCCCGGCAGTGATCTCTGACCATCAGGATTTCAGGCCTACTGCAGAGATGATGAGAGAAGCAGGAAGTGTGTGGCAGGCAGAAGGGGCCACGTTTTGTGAACAGCAACCCCTTCTCAGGCTCAGTTTCTTCATCTAGAATGCTCAAGCTGTTGCAAGGAGTGCGTTTTGGGACATATCACAAGGCATGGCGCCTACCAGCCACAACGCATTGTAAAAGGTGGCCACTGTCATCTTTGCCTTCTGGTGGGCTGGATGGGCCAGGGAGATGGGTGGGAGGAGCCCTGGGCTATGGGACAGAAAGCCAGGGCTCTAGTCTCGCCCCTGCCATACATGGAGGGAGCTCCCTGCCCCACCGGTGCCACACAGAGAGTGTGAGGATGAAGCGGTTCATAGCCAACTCTTTCTAAACGCAAAACGCACCAGCAGGAATCACACCCTTTCCCCAGAGCCGGTGCGAGGGGAGACAGAAGTGGGAGAAGTCACGAGGTGGAACCAGTTATCTCCCCACGTGCTCACCCCCCACCCACCACGTCCATTCCATCAGTGACCACGAACTTGTCACCCAGCTCTTCCTGTGACCAAAGCCAGCGTCACAGGTGGGTGCTCTGTGCAGTGACACAGGGTCTGTGCTCTGCTGTCATTGTCTTGAAATTCTCAATACTTTTTAAACAAGGGGCCCTACATTTTCATTTTGCACCCCCCAATTCTGTAGCTAGTCTTTCTTAGAAGGGTAAATACTGAGACCGGGCGTGGTGGCTCACGCCTGTAATCCTAGCACTCTGGGAGGCCGAGGTGGGTGGATCGTTTGAGCTCAGGAGTTCGAGATCAGCCTGAGCAAGAGCGAGACCTCGTCTCTACTAAAAATAGAAAGAAATTAATTGGACAGCTAAAAATATATAGAAA